ATAGATAGATAGATAGATAGATTAGATAATCTCACTGTGGGAAGTTCCATAGCTTAAGAGCAGCTATTGCAAATGTCCTTTCTCATGTCCTTACCTAATGTGCCTGTGAGGGTGAGATGGCAAAGACCCTTTTCTGAAGATCTCAAAAGCTAGGAAGGATTATCTGGAGAGATGGGATCCTTCAAGTATCTTGGGCCCAAGTTATATAGGGCTTTATAGGTCATTGCCAGTACTTTGAATTGAATCTGATTGCAAAGCAGTAGCCCATGATGCCATTGCAACAAGGGAATTATAGACTGTCACTGCCTGGGGCTGCAGTATTTTAAACCTGTTTAATTTTCCATATTAATACATTAATTTATAAATATATTAATTATAATACATAGAAATTGTAATACATGGAGTGTATTATACTAATCCAGGTGGAAGGTGTTTAAGATGTATCATTGTAGCCAAATCAGATTGGATACAGCTGCTGCATCAATTTCAACTGTGCAAATGCTCTCCTGAATATCTAGGCCAATAGTTCTCAAACTGGTCTCTCCAGATGTTCTTAGACTGCAGTTCACAGAATCTTTCACCACTTGCTGTGCTGATCAGGATTTCTAGGAGTTGCAGTCCAAGAACATCTGGGGACACAAGTTTGAGAACAACTGATCTTGGCTTATGGATGAATCCAAGAGTATACCCAAATTGCCTGATCACATTTCAGTTTGTTCACACTCATCCAGTCTGTTTCTGACATCAGAGCCAATACAGTTTTCTTAGAATAGATGCAAAGGAGAAATGGAGTTGGTGCAGCATACACATTATATTATATCCTCACATTCTGAACAAGCTACAGTATTGCAAATTCTTCTGAGCAGACTATGAGATATAAGTGATCCAGGAAGCAGATATCATTAAAGTGTGTCTGTAGCTTAATCTACAGTGAAATTGGAGCCAGGATGGCAATTTGATAAGAAATTGGTGTCCAGGTTGGTTGGTTTATGGGATGGGCTGTTAGAAGTTGGATAATCATAGATCACTTTGGATGCATCAAGTACATTATCAAGTTCATCTAACAAAGGGCCCATCTTCTCTTCAACAGTCTTAGTTTTCACTTTGTTCGTTTAGTTGTTCAGTCGTGTCCGACTCTTCGTGATCCCATGGACTAGAGCATGCCAGGCCCTCCTGTCTTCCACTGCCTCCCGGAGTTGTGTCAAATTCATATTGGTTGCTTCAATGACACTGTCCAACCATCTCATCCTCTGTCGTCCCCTTCTCCTCTTGCCTTCACACTTTCCTAACATCAAGGTCTTTTCCAAGAATTCTTCTCTTCTCATGAGATGCCCAAAGTATTGGAGCCTCAGCTTCAGGATCTGTCCTTCCAGTGAGCACTCAGGGTTGCTTTCTTTTAGAATTGATAGGTTTGTTCTCCTTGCAGTCCAGGGGACTCTCAAGAGTCTCCTCCAGCACCACAGTTCAAAAGCATCAATTCTTCGGCAGTCAGCTTTCTTTATGGTCCAGCTCTCACTTCCATATGTCACTACAGGAAAAACCACAGCTTTGACTATGTGGACTTTTGTTGGCAAGATGATGTCTCTGCTTTTTAAGATGCTGCTCTTTAAGTTAAGTTAAATTTAGATTCTCTCTGCTTCAGTCAGGTGCATCAAACTTTTTAGTGGTGTTTATCATGTTTATATCAAAAGTGTTTTTGAAGGACTGGGCAAGTATTAGTGCATCCCAATTGACACAAATTATATCTGGTTTCTGCAAACAAGTGTAATGTTGTTTTGTTGTAATTATTGTTTAAAAATATTCCCATACTTTTGCATTTTTATTCATATAGCCAAAGACACACAATGACAGATTTCTACTCAGCAGCATTTATGGGAGTGTGTTATTCCTTTGTGTTGCCAAGGCTTTTCTTTCCCTTTGCCAATTAACTCATTATCTCAAAAACATTTGTTCCCTAAATAATGTCGTGCAATACCCAGTTGAAAGACCTAATAATTGGATACTATACTTTGTGTCATATCAATATATGATACATTGATTATCAGCTTTCTTTCAGATTCTAGGAAGGAGCAAGTAATTGGTGAAAACCATGTTGGTTTAAAACAACATTGGTGAACATCATAATGGTTTAACAATGAATCAGTGAAGAAGCTAATGTTCATAAAATTATTTTGGCAACATTTAAGATTGGATTTTTTTTTTATCTACCTTAAAAATCCTGAGCAACAAACAACTAAACAAATTGCTTTATGTTTTACAGGCTAAATTATTTTGCAGTGAAATGTTCATTATCTTACCTTAAAAGTATTTTTTTCAATACAATTTAGTCATCATACATTATGTTAAGGTGTAAATGCCAAATTAGATGATAGACTAGAATAGACATTATACCATGTAGGCCTTTAATATTCAGCATAACCTCTGTCCTAGGGTAACCATGTGACATCTTCACAGACAACATTTGTCTACGTGGAGGGTTGTCAAATGGCAGTCCTCTGCTTGAACATATTCTTTATTTGAACAGAAGTCCAGGCAAAGCCCCATTTAAGAATAAAGAATCTTAAGAAGAAAGGATGAGAGTCTTGAAGATGCTCGTCCATAATTAATCCCTGAGCAGCAGTTTAAGGAGGCACTCTGGTCACCTCTTCACAGTCCACCCCATTCTAGTGAGGTGTACTCATCAGCTGTTTAACTCATAGAAATTAGAGATAATTCCTGCATAAGTAGCCTGCATTCATTAATTAACATATGTATTTTTATGCAAATCTTTGTCCTCCTTCATGATCTTTTTGAGAGACTCGCATGCTCTTTTTTGGCCATGCACGTACCCATCCTACTACTTCCATGAAAACATTTTTCTTTCTTGTATACCTTCTTCCCACAAACATCCATATACAGCTTGACCCAGATAGCAAATAGTGTACTGCTCACTTCCCTCACTCAAGGAGGAGGCTGGAGTTGCAGTGATGCTTCTTCAGCAGCAACCATGGCAGTCCTACCATTACACAGGGTGAAGAAATCACCTGGAGTGGCAGATTTGCAGTGTCGTAAAAGAAAGCGAATTACTGTATCCACTGTCAGATTTCTTATCCTTGAATGTCATGATTGTATTCTCAGGAACAGGGTGGGTAGTTGAGAGATTTTCTTCTTTATATACCAAAATAACATGACTGTGTTATGCCTTGGGTCAGTGTAGAGGTGCTATTTGCTGCTCCACTTTGGACAGCAAATATTTTAGGCTGGCAGTGGCTCAGTTTAAATTAAAAACATGTATAGGAGCCGAGGCTTCACAGGTTCTCAGCCAGCAGGCCCTGGTCCAGACAGACTGAACCATGATCTTTTCCTTCCTCCTAAGTAAACTTGGAGGCAAATCCTTCCTTCTAAATGAATCCAGATGGCCTCTGGTGGTCATAAAGCCCCTACTTTGAATGCCATCTCTACTTTGGCCTTGGGGTTATAAGGGAGGTTCCAGCCGGGAACTTGGGCAATTGATGTGAAGACCTCTAGTTTTGGGGCCAAAATACCTGGTTCCAAAAATTCCTTGAAGATTGTAAACAACTCATCAATCAGGTTGGGTATCGAGAGTCCAAATGTAGGAAAAATTGAACCCTGATGGATACAAGCCGCATCTGTCAGGAAACCCTCTTTGGAAGTTTCACTTTTTACTTTTAAAAACAGTTATACCCCGTCTTTCCACTAAGAGACAGCGCTCAAGTCAGCTTTAAAACTTCACAATCCAAATCACACCAGTGTTTCCACTCAATAGTTTAGAGATAAGTCGATCCACATTAAATCGTGATCAGATCTGCTCATTGTTAGCCAGTTTGCTGACAAAGTACTAGCAGAGGAGAGGACAATGAGCAATACCTCTGTTGAGATTATGGCTTTAGATATAACTCTATACTCTTTTTCGCATTATCTGCAGATTCCCCCCCCCCCATTTTGCTGGAGATCTGAAATGGATAAAGATTTGCACTTTGATATCTCAAGGCCTCTCAGGATTGGGTCAGGTGTGATGCAAAGAGTGTCATCCTCTCCCCCCCCCACTACACTTCCTCTTTCAAGTCCCACACTTCCATTTAGCTTTGTGACCAAGTCCCATTTTCAGATTTGGCTACATCAGAGATGAGGAACACAGATTCCTCCCAATGTTGTCAGATTGGAAATCCCATCATCTCTAGAAGGTCAATCATTACCCATCCTTGGGCTATAGGATATCTGAAGACAGTTCATAGTTAGAACAATGCTGCCTGCTGTCATTCTGCCACAATACTGGTGAACTATTTATTTTATTTTATTTTATTTCATTTCATTTCATTTATACCATGCCTATCTGGTCATTGTGACCACTCTAGGCGGCTATTTCTTCATCCCTAGTAGCTTCACTGGCAGATAGGCAGGGACTTCACCCATAGCCTTGAAGAAGTAGCAAGGTATGTGAAGCAGCCTCCAGAACCTTTTCACTGACCCTTGGAAGTCCTCTTTGATCTCAACATTTTGAGTACTTGGTTAATTGTGCAGGAGCCTGTGTTTATAAAAAAAAATCAAATATATATATGCTTTCCTTTGTTGCAGAAATGGCATACTTGAACTGAACAAAGCATTATTGGTATTGGTATCAGCAGCTGTTTTTTCCCCCCTGCCTTGGTTGAGTTCTTCAATAGCAAAGTAAAAGGATATAGCAGCAGAGCAGGAAAGCCACTGAAGACAGAAGTCACATAATGCCTTTCCCAAAAAGCAAAAGACTCCCTGCCACATTTGTTGCTACCAAAGTCACAGTTTGTATCACAAAGTAGGTACAAGACAGGACTACCAAAGAGAAAAAGATGGGCAGTGATTCCCATAATGCTTCCGTGCTCTTGTTTTATATTTTACATTATTGTTTAATAAAAAGAGTTGAAATAGTTAGAAGTCTTGGGAATGGAGCATCTGTGTTTCGTCTAGTGCTATGGATTAAATGTTGTTAGTAACATGTTTGGTTTGTTGTTATTGCTTTATAGTAATGGATCAGGAACATCAGAAGATCTCTTCTGGAAACTTGATGCATTGCAGATGTTTGTCTTCGATCTTCATTGGCCAGAACCAGAATTTGCCCACCACTTAGAACAGAGACTTAAACTCATGGCCAGTGATATGATAGAAGCCTGCATCAAAAGGTATATATGTACTTTCAAGGGTTATCTTGTAGATTATGCAATATCTAGAAGGGTCTTTAGGAAAAAAATAGGAGCCTTCTTCCAGTGGGCCCATCTCCTTGTTTCTCTCTAGGCCAAATCTGTACAAGAGTACATAGGAAGCAAACTCTTGCTTTTACTCCTCAATCTGATGTAGTCACTGTTTCCATTCTCAAAAAGGGCAGGAAAGAAACACAAGTGTGAGAGAAAATCACACCCATAAAAGAAGGGTTGCTCCTCCTGCTTGTTTCAGCCTTCCAAGTTCTGCCCTATTCAGGGAAGGTGGGATGGATGTAGACAGACCAAGCTACAGGAGGTACATCTCTTCCTGGTGCAGCCCAGTGGTTGTGAAAGCAAGCAAAAGTGCAGAAGCTGTGTCTAAATTCTACCTTGTTGGGACAATTAAGACTTCCAATCTCATACTTCATTGGGGAGTCAAGAGAGTCAGTACTCTATGTGAGAGCATTATCAACCTTTGGGGCCTTCTATCTTCCTGCATGCTGTAGGAGAAACTCAAATGAAACAGCACCTTTTTATGACTGCTAGCTTTCAAATGTGGTCAACAGTGGGTATCTGCCACAACACAGCAGGGACTCTGCAATTAATCCATTGAGATTCCTGGCCTTACTGCACATTAGAGCAATGGGGTTTGACCAAGAAAGGAATCTTGGGGTTCAGACAGATATCTCAAGGAAAATGTCAAATTATGTGTGGCTGCTGTCAAAAGGACAGATTCCATGTTGGAGATCATTAAGAAAGAAAAAAGAAAAGAAAAGAAAAGAAAAGAAAAGAAAGAAAGAAAGAAAGAAAGAAAGAAAGAAAGAAAGAATATAAAACTGCCAGTATCATATTGTGACTGTGGGGCAACACCTAAAATATGATGCACAATTGTGATTGTCACACCTGAGAAATAATATTTTAGAGCTGGAAAATGTGTAGTAAAGGGCAGCAAAATTTATAATTAAATAGAGGACTTCCCCTCTTGAGAAATGGTTATAAGGTTGAGGTTGGGCTTAGCTTAGGAAAAGGCAAAGTAAAGGGAGACCTGATAAATAAAATTGTCCCTGGTGTGTAGAATGTAATTAGAGACCAAATCCTATTGCTATAATGTAGGGTCATCTAACTAAAGCTGAATGGTGGGAGGTTTGGGACAAATAAAATAAAGTAACTGTTTACAAATTGCATAGCTGCATTATAGACTTAATTATCAGAAAATCTAGTACTAACTGCCAACTTGGATGGCTTTAGAAAGGAATCTGACAAATATGTGGAGGATAAGCCAGTCAGTCGCTATTAGTGAGGATGAATAAATATTACGTGTAATATTAACGGCACCATGTCTCTGTACTACTTTGTACTACTGTTGTAAGCCACCTAGAGTGGTCGCGGTGACTAGATAGGTGGGGTATAAATGGAATGAATGAATGAATGAATGAATGAATGAATGAATGAATGAATAAATAAATAAATAAATAAATAAATAAATAAATACCAGGGAACACAGATAGGAAGGTGCTGTAGCCATCACATCATGCCTTTGACCTTCTGATAGATAGGTGGAAACAGAATGCTGAATTAAATAGACATTTAATCATGTAAAAACCCAAGGTTGGTTTGTTATTCTCTCTCTCAATCTCTGTCTCTCTCACAAAATCTTTCATACTCATATAAACATAGTTTTCAAATTGTTGGAAGTACCTAAGTATGCTGTATGACAACATTCTATATTTACCGGTTTGAAAACTGTGCACAAGGCTTAATATCTGCCAGAAAGCATTCAACATCATTATGTGCTGCTGTGTTTTGTCATGCTGCTATTTAGCTAAGTTCATATTTAACCTTAGGATGTATGGATGTGATCATTACACTTTCAAGTAGCATTTATCCAAACACTTCAATCCTTGATTTTTATACACTTATGGGAAATAGATATAAGTATGGTTTCTCTTTTACGCTTCATTTGTCTGAAATCATAACAAATCTTTGCACTGTTTTTCCCGTTTTAACTGTTAGAACAAGAATTGCTTTTGAACTCAAACTGCAGAAGGCAAGCAAATCAACAGATTTGCGTATTCCTTCTTCTATGTGCACTATGTTCAATGTACTGGTTGATGCCAAGAAACAAACAGCTAAACTCTGTGTTCTGGATGGTGGGCAGGAGGTAAGTGAAAGTGTGAATGTATAAAAATATCTGCTTCAAAAGTTCAGTAATTATACAAATGGCTTTGGTCAGAGTTCAGTTCTGAGATAGCTATTGCTGGTTGCAAAAGAGGAGAGGAGAAATATTCCCAGAACAGGATTACCATATGAGACTTGTATAGCAGGAGCAAGAATTTTATGCAAGGATTCAGTGGTGTACTACTGATGAATCCCACAGCTTCTGCTAGAATGAGCCGCATACATATACTGTGCAGCCTGCCACATAGCCTAAAAAGTTGCACCTGAAGGTTAGGAAATCTGGGGTGGTTTCTGGAGCCACAGAGCGGTTCATTGGAAGGAGGGCAGGGAAAGGTCTTTATGCCAACTGGCATTAGCTGCGAAACTACAACGTTGGATCTTTGTCACTAGTGAATCCTTATTCTCTAATCCTGCAGCACCTTGTCACTGGTCTTCCATACTGAGATAACATTCTAGAACAATCTAGAATTAAGGAATGGGTGACTCACTAGGAATAGTCACCAGAATATTATGCTGCTTTAATCTTAGGTGAAGGTACAGGTTTCCCTTGACGATAAAGTCCAGTTAACTGTCCAGTTTATTAAACCCAGGACTCTAGGCGCCTGGTGCTCATCCCCATTTGTAAGCCAAAGAGTCGGCATTTGTCCATAGACACTTTGTCACATGGCTGGCATGACTAGACACAGAATGCCGTTACCTTCAAATCAAAGTGGTATCTATTCATTTACTTGCATTTGCATGCGTTCAAACTGCTAGCTTGGCAGTTGGGACAAGCAATGGGAGCTCACCCTGTTGTGCAGATTCAAACTGCTGACATTTCGACAGCCCAGTGGCTCAGAGGTTTAACTTGCAGCAGCACCCAAATACCTTACTTTAATCTTTACTATGTGTTATTAATAGCATACCCTTTTTGACAGTGTGTTCATGCTTGCAATCAAAGGTATTAAGAAGGGGTCTGCATATATAGTCACCAGTTGTGACCAGAAATTTAATTTTAATCACATGTAGAAAACCAGGAAAGCTTCCATCATACTTTGTCACAGGAGCACTGTTGTTAAAGAACAAAAACCTCCTGGTGACACATGGAGAGCCTCTTTCAAAATAGCACTCAAATGTGTCTCCTGCTGTGGTGCAGCATCACTGAGTTGTAAGCAGACCACCTGTCTTTTTGCCTTGTATGACTAGGCAACATGTGTGGTCCTTAGGATTTAAGTAAAGAGTTATACTTTATGATGGACTTGGCATTCATTTTCATAAACATTTCTGTTTTATAACATTCTGTTATATTTATTTCTTCATGTTTCCTGTTGGGTTTTTTAAAATATTGATTTTGTTTTGGTTATTACATCTTGTATTAGTTTATAATGATTATTTCCATCATTTTTCCCCTTGTCTGTTTTTGGGGGTTTTCTGTCACATGACCCAGTTTGCTAATCAGTGGGTAAGTTTATTTTAGAACTTATTTTGTCTTCCAAATGTTTTAGCACTCATTGTTTGTTGTAAAATGGGACCTGGGGTTTACCACCCTGACTAAAAATCTAGATCCTGGAACAAGATAAAGTAATGCCAGCCTCACTATATGCAAAGTAGATTGAGTCCCTCCCTCTGTCTTCAGTTTGTCAGCCTATTATGCAAGAATGGGAGAAGACTCAGTCTTACACTAATATTTAAAACAGGATCCTGTCACCTTTTCAGATCCTAATTACATGCAGTAACCACAAATGGAAAAGTTGCATTATATACTTGCTTTTTGCTACATTCACAGTTTGTTGTTCTGTGCATCGAAGTTGCTTCCATCTTATGGCAACTTTATGATCAGTGATCCCAAAAATGTCCTATTGTTGACAACTTTGCTCAGGTTGTCCAAACTAAAGGTCATGGTTTTATTTATTGAGTCTGTCCACCTCATTCATCTTTTCTCCCTGTCTTCATTTTTTCTCAGCATTATTGTCTTTCCAAGTGAGTTGCTCCACATGGGTAGTTCATTGTATTTGTCAGAAGCTCTTTCATTCATTTTTTTCTTTTCTTTCAGAGCTAAATCATAATGGTTGGATCCAGATGTAATCATACTTCCGTGAATGTACTTACCTGAATCAGCCAGCCTCATTGATCTGAATGGGTCTCTTTTGACTACATCTGCATCCAACCCTGTGATAATCTTTACATCAATATAAAACTGTTAGCCTTTTCACATTTCAGACATTTACATATTGAGAATAAAAGAATCATTCCCCTGCCCCAAAATCTGAGTCGTATCATCAGAGTTTGTACATTGACTTAAACACAAATTAAAAGCTGAAAATTCTATTCGAAATAAACATCTACGTTTCAAACATCACAGTTTGATTTCTGAGATTTTGGTGTTTCCTTGTAAAAGAACATTCCCTATGTGGTCCTTACTGTAATTTAGCAGGAGTAGCACAACAGGGTTGGAGATATTTGCAGTGGATATCAGATACAATTTTTTGCAGATGGCATGAACCATATTTTATTTTACATTTTTGTACTATCACAGGTTTGGCAATCATCATTTTAAAATATGGGAAATGAAAGATTATACATGCAAATTAAATACCCACCAAACATGTTCTCAGCTATGACATATGAAGAAAAGTCCATCTGTTCCCACTCCTTTAATTGCCACAAAAATACACCTTTCACCACTTTCAGGCATTTAGCTTGTTTCCCATATTCAGCTGATGACTTCAAGCTATCAAGGCTGTTCCTACACAGCCATGGTTTCAGTAGTCTACTGTGAATGACCCCCCCACTCCCTTCCACCATCATCCGAGGGAGCTTACTCTCTCCATTCTTGCTCCCCTTTCAGTGCATGGATTTGACATTCACTTCATTAGTCCATTCCTAAACATGATTTAGGTGAAAGGGACTTGAGGGTCCTTCAGATAATATAACAGATAGTAACTTCCTTTAGTAGGTACTCTTACATAGCCATCAGCAAGGCAATGGTTGCTTTGTAGGGGGAATATAAGGATTTAGCAAACAAAATGGCGAGGAGTATTTAAATTTATGGTAAACTGAAATACCTTTATTGAATTCTCTTCATTGTGGATATTTAGATTCAAGAATATTATCTGAAGTGACACATGTGTTGAATTTAATTCCAGTACTCTGTCCTTTCCATGTGATTTATCCCTGGCCCCAGAAGAATTAGTCATTGTGGTTAAAATATTTTTTTAAATATAATTATCGCAGTGTCTCTCCTTTTGATTTTAGTAGGACTTAAGAATGTGGGCTATGTTACAGTCTATTTTATCAAGGCAGTAATTTGTCTTTTCTGACATTACATGTGTATCTGCATCTGTCCACTTGGATACAAATTGTTTGCTTCGTTAATCTAAGCACAGTGGGCATTAGCTTAACAAAAGGGCAGCTCTCCTGGGAATTATTAAGTATGTCTGTGTGGAAACTTTAAAAAAGAAGGCATAGCCTTCAGAAAGCTAAATTTTATAAAACTATTCAATGGGCTCCTGCCAAGTTCAGCTAATGTTTATATTGATTTTGGTGCTTTTACTCCAAGCATTATGTTCTTGCTGTTTCAGGTAGCCTTGAACTATCAGGATAGGGTTAGTCTTTACATTTTTTGTGAAGTGGCTGGTAGGCCATTCTTTGCTCTAGACAAATGTTCTGAAGGGAGAATTACCTTTTTTTTTTAATGGATGTATGTTCAGAATAGAGAAAGAGCCCTTGTTCCCGCTAGCTGCAAGATGGAAGTCTCTTCTATTATTATCTAAACAGAGTGTGAAAGTCTTTCAGATTTAATTTAAAGTGTGCATCACCAAAGAAAGCATTGTTGTTAGTGGGAGGAAAGTAGAAGCAAAAAGATGGAGAATGGCAGATAATTTTGTTATTATGCTTTTATGACTGACTAGTTTATTGCCATCCTTCTGCTTTCCTGATGATATTTTATTTCTGCCTGTGTTTGAGCAGGTTGTGTACGAGTTGTATAACCTGAAGCTCACTCCAGTAATAAAAGGGCCCTTTTAAGCGTGAACGGTTGGCCCCTCATTTTATTTCTGGAGGACATAACTTATGAATGAGAGTTGTCAGACATAAAGTGCTTTATTTATTCTATCTTTTTCTCATCTTGCCTCTGTAGCAGGGCGGGGGTGGGGGGAGATACACAGTCACCTTAATTACAGAGAAGACAAAACATATCCTTCACATTCCTTTGCCTGAATAAGAATAAAGACCTCAATGCATCTAAATAATAACCCCATTAGTTGCTTAACTCAACATTCTATATGGAAAAAACATCAGAGTCAGAAGTGTTGATTGGATGGATCATTTTCAAGGTTTTGTTATTTGGGTGTTCAATATGATAATTTTAAGTAAATCTCATCTGTCAGGTTTGGAAGCTTTGTACTGTGTGTGCCTTGTGACAAAAAGTGCTGTTTTCATATAAGACACTAATGCTGCCTTTATCTTCTGAAACACAGCAGCAATACCATTCAAAAATAGACGACTTGATTGATGAAACCGTGAAGGAAGTAATTTCACTTCTTGTTTCAAAGGTAAATTTATTCAGACTTTGTAGCTGAATGAGAGTAGCGAGAAAAAATGTTTCCATATCTACTTTCTGCAAAAAGGAAGGTATTTTTCCCACTCCATTTTAAAAGCAAAACTGACCTAAGGGACCCACAGCCTCCCACTTCATCTGGATGTTTACAGATTTAAATTAGGTACCAATTTGAGCAAGGATTCGTGTGCAGTCTTTTCATCCGGTATATTTCTCTTGAGCTGCATGCCATACTGGCTTCATTAATTGCTGATACCTAGCACATCCACATTTTTCCTGTATAAGGATTAGCTTTAATTAAGTGCACCATTGCTTTTCTCCTTTGCATTACATTGTTTTTATAGTTTGCTTTATGTTGCACATGGGGAAGTGTGTTCTTCATTTTTTTCCTAGGCATTTAGAATCCATCTTCATTTCAGCATTGATCATACATACAAAGGTGTTGAAATACTTTTGCTAGACTCATAAGTTTTTTTGGCTCCCCTTAATATGAAATCCAGTTTAATATGCATATGGTGTTTCCTTATGTATTTTAAAAGTAGTAATGGCTAGAGAATTAATCTCCATTTGCTCAGAAAAATTAGAAATGCAAATTTAAAACGGTTTGTCATTGCTTCTGAAAAAGGTGCAACTCCCTTTTTTTTACTCTGGTAACACTATAGATGTGCCTGGATTCTGGCCTATCCAACTCCCAGTGAAGATTTTCTTTATGTATGAAATATATTTCCTAGAAGTAATTCTATGCAGGGAAGCTTGATTACGAAACACAAATCAATGTGTACTGCTTCTTGTTCTTTTGGAAGGAGAGCTATGGTTCTCTCTGCATGCAGTGGAACCCCACAATAACGAACATATGCAAGGCACCAATGTAGACCTCCGTTTTGTTCCTTGCATGGCAGAACCACTCGAGGCAGGACAAATGTTAGGGTAACAGGTATGAGCAAAAACTATAGGAGCAATGTTGCATGCAGCAGTTCAGTGCAGACTCTCTTGCCTCCCCACAACCTCCACCTTTCAAATTTATTGGGCAAATTTCTGTGGAATTACAGCCTTCCAGTTAGATTGTACCCAGGGACTGAACCAAAGTAGATGTTAACGATATTGAGAAAGTAAAAGCTTCCTCTCCTCCTCTATGGAGGGGGGAAATTATGAAGCAAAATGTGGGTTTTCTTTTTTCTTTTCTTTTTTACAGCTTGTAGGGCAGCGCTGATGCACTCTGTGTTTTATAAAACTTTTTTTTAAATGAAAGTGTCCTCCTGGGAGGAGAAGGGCCCAAGAAGGTGAATCTCTTTTGTTGTTGTTGTTGTTGTTCTATTACTTTTTCTTGTTTGTTTGTTTCCCTCTCTCTAAAGGGAAGTGGGCCAAATAGTGTTGCTTGAGGTGCAGTCTGGTTTCCTAACCCAAAACCATCAAATCCTTGCATGTGGATGCAAGGATTGCAACAAATGGCATATCACACCTCTGTATAACCATAAGCAATCCTGATCTAACCTTCTTCAGTTTGACCATCTAGCCAAGCCCAAGGTTTATTAGTTGCTGAAATTATGTCTTGATTCTGTTTATTTGTAAAATCGGTGCTTAGCAGATTCATCTTTTCTTTTTTCCTTCTTTCTTTTTTCTTTACTGTTAACTCTAGCTGTTTTTCTACATGGCTGTCATTTTAGATCATATCTGAAGTGGTTCAAGAACCATATTAATTATCATTCTGCAGCGTTATTGATTTAGTTCTCTTGTTCAGGTGGATTGTGCAAATCGGGTAGGCAGCACCGGTGTATTAACATGAGCAATGGCAACTGTTACCATAAATAAAAAGCAGGGTTCCCTATAGTCAAAACAGGAAAAATTCTGCCTCTTATTGCTCTTCATATAATGATCCATCTATATTGCTTACATGATGATATAAAATAAATGATAGGCAGATAAATATGATGAGAAGCAGAGTAGGTTAAAGATGTGATGAATGCAGTTCACTACTGTCACCCCTTTAAGCCATTAGAAGTCTAGATTGTTGCAAGGTGAGACTCTCAGATTCTTACAGGGAAGAAGGAATATGACACTGTTGTGACACTGTTAGAGTGGCCATTAACAGCATGCCAGATGGAATTTTGTCCTGTCCTCTCACTCATAAAATGCTGCTCCAATGTTCTAGGAAAGAGACTTGAGATGTCAAGCAATTACTCTTTAAAACACTTCTTGGGGTCATCATCAAACTACTTACATGTAAGCACTTTGCGGTTGTGTTACGACTATTAACGCTAAAGTGTAGTATGTGTATATTCACACAAACATGATTTTTTTTAAAAAAAAAGCTATGTCACTGGCTTTCATTTTACTTTGTGTCACTAACAGTATGATTTCCAAAATAAGATTAATTCTTTTTATTTGTTAGATTTTTATATATTTTTATATATTAAAATAAGAGTTGTTTGTCATTTTAAAGACTGTGTGGGCAGGTCCAACTTCAACTCATCATCAGTGGATAACAAAAGTGACTTTCAAGTTCTGTAGTTAGAACTTTAGTCCTAAAAGCATTTTGGTACTAAGTTACTTGTGCTGTGCAACTGCAACCAAATTTGATGACTGCACAAATTAGGCATGAACAGTCTGCTAACTTGTTTTTCTAATAGAAAGGGAAGAGGAAAAGTCTATTTTCCTGCAATAGTGGCCCCCAACCTTCTCCCAACTGCGGACCGGTTGGGGGGGTGTCTGTGTGCAGGGGGATGGGGCGCCCTGAACGCTGGTAGGTAGGTGGGGCATTCACTTGCAGGGGGCAGGGGCGCACTCACGTGCATACGCAGGGGTAGGGGGTGTGCTCGCAGGTAGGCAGGGTGTGCTCACAGGGGGGGACATGCTGCCATGCATGCATGGGAGGCAGGGGATTGTGTGCAGGGGCAGTAGATCTGTCTCCGCAGCCCAGTCCTGCTAGAGTCCCAGCCCTCTACCGGGCCGCAGACTGGGGGTTGGGGACCCCTGCTCTACAATGCTCATTTTAAGTGAGATTTGATGGTGGCCTGCTCTTTGTGCTGCAAAGCCTGTAAAGAAGAAGCAAGCAGCACTCTCTGGAAATGGAATGGGATGAGATGTCATCAGAGTCCTTTAGGGTCTCCTTGTTGGGAGAAAGGTGCCCTATAAATAAAACGAACAAACGAATGAATAAATAAATAAACATCATACACTAAGATTATCATGGCTTGGAGATGTTCCTTCTGACATCTAGAAATGAATCTAAGCTGTCTACATTTGCTCAGCAGAAGTGGAGTTAGAATGAAAAGCTGGTGATGTGCTCTTCTCCCTTAATTGTTGCTGCAATGCATTAACAGATTGCATAGTTCTGGCATCAAATAGCAATATCTGGTTTGGTTTATTTCACCTTTTAAAAAAAATTGTGAGGTACAAGGTAGGAAATGAAGAAGTTTATTCTGTTTTTACATCTCAACACAGTAAGTTGGATCTAGACCCAGCCATAATTAGGACAGATGCAGTGAACTCCGTAGCACTTCAGTCAGTCACGACTCACTCACATCCCATTTATTGCAGTGCTAATGTTGACTAAATTTGAATCAATTCCCTTGTCATTTTATTAGAAATTTCTAGTGGTACAAATAATCATGTATTCAATTTGTATTTATCTCTTCTATAACATTTCTGGATACATCAAAACTCTCTTATATCTTTACATCTGACAAAGAATTTGCCAATGTGCAGTGTTATGTTCACTGTTATCAGCCATAGAAGATGATGGCTGGTATTTATCCTTTCAAAATAAGGCAATAATTTTTCTTTTTCTTTTTTTTTTGTACATCATGAATATTTATATTTGTATCTTAATGTAGTTTGCTACAGTGCTGGAAGGTGTACTGTCTAAATTATCAAGGTATGATGAAGGCACTTTCTTCTCATCAATACTTTCATTCACTGTAAGTACTTCAGCTCTTCAATAACTGATTTTTAAAGACCACTAAAAGTTAATCATGATCAGTTACAGTGTTTGATTACTTTTTTTACTTTTAATTTTATTTAAGGTGAAAGCGGCTGCAAAATATGTTGATGTTCCTGTAAGTATTTTGATTGTAAAAGGAACTTTGTAAAACTGTTGCTTTCCACAACATGTACCTCTTCCATGTTTTATCATTGCACTTTCCTTTGGATGTTCATTATAACCTTACACAAGGTATTTAAACAGATACATCTGGTCCCAGAGAGCATTCAATTCCCCTTAAACAACAACCAACTCCCAAAGCAAAGCTTAGAGAGGTTACTCTCAGTGTACTTTTTCAGTTGTGGTGAAGAGAGAATTGTAGCCTAGATACTGCTTCACTTGAGACGTTTTGTCATTTGGGTGTGTTGTTCCAAAGCTTAGCTCATTTGGGTTTCTCAAGAAAGTTGATGCATTCAAGATTATCTTCCAAATAAATGAATGTCATTCTTGAAAACTGTAGACCTATCAACTGACATAGACTTGTCAATTTATATCCAGGCATAAATATAACTTTTTTAAAAATAAGAAAGAAATGGAAATTTGGAGACATAAACCACATCCTATTCAAAATAGCTATTTACTTTAGGTCTGTTATCATTTTTCCATCTTCTAGGGAAATGGAAAACGTGTCTCTATTTTTGCCATGTGAAGTATTCCACTCTCTAGACAAACCCAGGACTAGGCTCTATTAAACCAGATGGGATCAGTTTCCTAAGTAAGCAAAAACTGGGTTGGTCTATAAGTGTACATGTGTGAGAAAGAGAGAGAGAAAGATAATACTGTACTCTGTGTGTGTTGCCATGAAATATTCCTTATATTTTAATACTTGTTTATGAATTTTTAACAGAGCTTTTAAAAAAATGTTTTCAGATTTAAATGCACTGTTTGCAAATCTTCATCTTCTGTTTTCTTCTCCTAAAATGGAAATTGTGCTGTCAAGTCAATTCTGGCTTATGGCAGCCCTTTTCAGAGTTTTCTAGATAGAGAATATTCAGAAGTGGTTACCATTTCCTTCTCCTGGGACCGTACAGCTTTCCCAAGACCACAGAAGTTGGCTTTTCTCCTGGAAAGCACAGTACTGTAGGAAATTGAACTCCCAACCTCTGGCTCCACAGCCAGACACCTAATCCAATGAGCTACAGTGGAGTCTTGACTTGAGAATTTAATCCGTATTGGAAGGCGGTTCTCAAGTCAAAAAGTTCTCAGGTCAAATCTGCATTTCCCGTAGGAATGCATTGAAAACCATTTGATCCGTATCTGCTCTTTTCCGTCCATAGAAACTAATGAGAAGCTGCTATTCCGCCTTCGACCACTAGAGGGGGAATATTTTGTTTCTTTTTTTCTTAGGTCAAGAAAGGTTCAGGGAAGGCAGGGAAAATACAGTCCAGGCAGTACAGTACCAGGCAGCCCGAAGACTGTCTCCCAATCCACTCTCTAAACAGTGGGAGGAGTGAGGAAGCAGACAGGCACCCTTTTCACTGGCCAACAGTTAACTGAAAGTTCACATTTTGCACTTTCCCTGCCTCCCACGTGGGTTTTTTTTCAGTTGGTAACTCAAATCTAAGTATGTAAGTCAAGTCAATATTTTCCTATGAGAGCAATTCTTAAGTCAAAATGTTCTTAAGTCAAAACTCGAGCCGTTCTTAAGTCAAGACCCCACTGTATGTAGCCAGTTTTCTTCTCCTACTACACTTCTTTTTTACAATTCCTTTGCACATTTCAGATTACTTTTGTGTACTGGTTCACACAGCTGAAAATGAAGAAAGACATGTAGATACAGTGGGGTCTTGACTTGAGAACTTAATCCGTATTGGAAGGCGGTTCTCAAGTCAAAAAGTTCTCAGGTCAAATCTGCATTTCCCATAGGAATGCATTGAAAACCATTTGATCCGTATCTGCTCTTTTCCGTCCATAGAAACTAATGGGAAGCTGCTATTCTGCTTTCGACCACTAGAGGGGGATATTTTGTTTCTTTTTTTCTTAGGCCATGAAAGGTTCAGGGAAGGCAGGGAAAATACAGTCCAGGCAGTAAAGTACCAGGCAGTCCGAAGACTGTCTCCCAATCCACTCTCTAAACAGTGGGAGGAGTGAGGAAGCAGACAGGCACCCTTTTCACTGGCCAACAGTGAACTGAAAGTTCACAGTTTGCACTTTCCCTGCCTCCCACGTGGGCTTTTTTCAGTTCTTAACTCAAATCTAAGTATGTAAGTCAAGTCAATATTTTCCTATGAGAGTGGTTCTTAAGTCAAAATGGTCTTAACTCGAGCCGTTCTTAAGTCAAGACCCCACTGTATGTTACAGTGCATCAGTCCTATAATATAAGGTTCTTTTGCTCTGTATATGTACACACAAGGCTAGAAGAAGACATTTTGTGAGACAAAGGACATTATGCCATCCCCACCCATTACAGAAGAAATGTAAACTACCAACTTAATTTCACTGCCATGGAACAATGTCCTTCTTTGCTCACACAAGCTAGTTTAAGAGGCATTGGACAGAGTGTGTTACGCACAAAGAGAGGAATAGCCAGGATGCTTGGCAGAAAGTGTTGTCTCAATTTGTCAAATGACAAAAGTTCTTCCCTGTTTGTGCATCATTCATATGTTGTACTGAAGAAGCAGTGGTAAATATACATTGTAGCCCTGCTCTTTGCAGCACTCAACACTATTTTTATGTTTTTAGCCACTCAAATCAATCTTGTGTCACTTCACCGTCATGTGCCATTATGCTGATGGCTCAAGAATCTTACCCTTAAACCTCATTGCCAGGCTTGATGACCCAGGGAACTGGCTCATTGGTTATCTGTGTAGGTCAGAAACAAGTGCATGCTGAAGTCAGGAAGAAGTGAAGGTCCAGTATAGTTCAACAGGAGATGAGAACAGCCAGAAACAGTCAAAGGGGTGTTCTTTCACAGTTAGTAAGAGCTGGAAAGACATCCATGATTTAATGAGATGATCTGTGTAGCAAACACCCTGTCTTCCTATATATATATAATGGTATTGGCCTGCACCAATGATAGCTGTTGGGAGGCGGAGCCAGAGAAACCAGGAGGGAGGGGTGAGTCTGAGAGGAGAGTCTGACATTAGAAGGGACTGGGAGTCAGAGATGAGAGTCTGAAGTAGAAGTTACTCTGTGGTAGTTAGAGAGGTACTCAAAAGTGCACCCTGGGACTGTCCAGCTTGCTCAGGGTGACACAGGTTGGTTCTTCTCCTGGGACACCAGTAGTGAAACTCACTGAATTATCCAGCCAGCTAGGCTTTCTTATTACATATACATTATTCCACGCTCTTTTATCTATAACAGCTAGCAGTTATTTATAAATGACAGTGTACCTTAAATTTCTTTGGTTGCAAACTGTAAGTAAGAATTTCTTTAGGAAAAGGGATATTTTATTTCTCAGGTTAAAGAAACAGAAAAAAGCTTTTAAGATCTTAAATGTAAACATTTCATCTTTGCTTTCTTTAAAAAAACCACATGACAGTGCTTTATTATTTTCTCTCCCTTTGATATATTGTTAATGCTTAATCAAAAGGTTCTGCATGTTCTTCTATATTTAAATAATTTGCTGGGGAAGGGGCATACTTGTAAGGAACGGACCCCTCCCCTCTAGTGAATGGTAGGAGATGACCCACACCTGCCGGATTAGGTGAAGCTGCAGGAAGTAAGAGCACTGGCAGCAGCATATAATTAACAAGGATTTTTTCCTCTCTCTTTTAAAAATCATGTTCATCTTGCCAGGTTAACAAGTGATTAACCCCAGGAAAAGAATCTGCTGTGGTTGACTCCCTTGTTTTAAACTCTTTCACTTTTTTCCCTTGTGGATTTGGTTTTGGGTTACTAGGGGCATAGTAACCCAGTTGCAATGCTTCATTTCCTAGTATTCAGTTTAATACCTTTGTGTTTCCAGATTTTCTACTTCCCTGTGTGCATTGGGGGAGGGGGAGTTTTAAACTGATGAAAACATCTTGGCTCCTCATTTATACCAAAATTCTACCAGAAAGAGTGCGGGGAGAGGAACATGCTTTTTCTCAATTAAAACTGGATTCTTTCTATTATGCTGCCTTTTAGGGAATTTCTAAGTTACAGTTCTTATTGTATACAGCTCAGTACCATATAATCCTTGAAAGAAAAACTAAGCTCAGAGTTTCTTACATCTTCTATTTTGATAATCACCTTGTAATTGTTCACAATACTGAGTGTCAGTAAAAAAAAAAGCTATATGTGAAGATTACTTTTAAGTTCAATCCTTTTAATTACTTAATAACTTATATGGGCATCCTGGGCTATAGGGGAGCATGTTCTACCTGGTTTAAGAACATAAGAACAGCCCTTCTTAATCAGATGAAAGATTTGTTTAAGACAGCATTCAATTTACACCAACCAACCTGAACGTACAAAAGGACTCTCCCACTCATCCTCTCCAGAGCATACTCCTGCTGATCCTGGCACGGCTAGGTATCTGTCAGGAGAAGTAGCCATGGAGAGTAGCAGTGGATAGTCCTATCCACAATGAATTTATCCATTCTGTTTTTAAAAAGCCATCTGAGCTGCTGCCCATCACTGCTTTTTTATTTCAGTACATTCTACAACATAACTACAACCTGTGTAAATAACTGATTTATTTCATCTGCCCTGAATCCCAGTCATTCATTTCTGATGGAAGACCATGGATTCCAGTATTATTAGAGAGAGAGAAAAGTTTCAGCCTATCAAATTTTTCTGTACTACACATAATGTTATACATCTCAACCATGTTTTGTCTTTTTTTCTAAACTAAGGAGCCCCAAGAATTGCAACCTTTCCTCATAGAAGAGCTGCTTAAGCTTCTTAGCTATTTTGGTTGCCCTTTTTGGTACCTTCTCTAGGTCTACAGTGTTGTTTTTTAAGTGTGATGGCCAGAACTATATATGCTGCAAGTGTGGTCACATAATTGATTTTGATGACAAACACAATACTAGCAGTTTCATTTCAAGTTGCTTTTTTATCCCCAACAAGGAACTTGGCCCCCCCCCCCCCCAGCAACCATATATTGCATTGACATTTTGATTAAGCTGGCCACCACAAGGTCCATTTCTT